GCATGTCTTTGTTTTGAAACTAAAAGATTTTCTTGTGTTTCTCTGAGAATAGTATTTCTATTTCTTTACTTATCTCTGTTTTACCTAGTCATTTAAATGTTCATTTTAATCTGCCCTCCCATACCACTGGATCTCCTTCTTTGTCAAGAAATCCCTGATTTTCCATTGGTGTTTAAGGAATTAGTAGCTGGTGTCTTCTTTCCCAGGGATCACATAAATGATCCAGTGGATTTACAGTGTATTAGAGCTGAAGTTCCTTTGCCTCTGCTAAACCCCAAGTTAGGATTAGCACTGTAAAAAGTATTTAATGGCCTCTGAATTCCCTTAAATGACCAAATAARAAGGACTATATTTGGGGCACTGATAACTACAGTAGAAGCCTTAGCTTTGATTACCAAGTCCTTTTCCTCARGAAAGAGAACCTGAATGTCCTCCCTGGTTGCTGGCATAGAGAAAGGTAATCAAGGTATTGTCTTTTCTTTTCTTTTCTTTCTTTCTTTCTTTCTTTCTTTTTTTTTTTTTTTTGAGGTGGGGGGAATACCAGGGATTGAACTCAGAGACACCTGACCACTGAGTCACATCCCCAGCCCTGTTTTGTATTTTATTTAGAGACAGGGTTTCACAGATTTGCTTAGTGCCTAGCTAAATTGCTAAGGCTGGCTTTGAACTCGCAATCCTCCTGCCTCAGCCTCCAGAGTCACTGGGATTATAGGCTTGGGCCATGGCACCCGGCCTGGTATTGTTAACTGTCTGTCATTTCCTTAGTTTGTTTTCAGTCCTGTCTCTCTTTCCCTTCACCAGGCCTATTCCCTCAGTGGTGTATCTCACCTGTTCTGTGGGCCCTGAGAGCAGATCATGTGCAGGACAGTAGCTTTCTTTTCTTCTTTTTTCATTTTTTTTAATATGCTCCCATCAACTTCCCTCTTCTGGATATTTATTAAAAATCTGTTTGTTGACATCTCCCTCATTCTCTCTTATTCTTAAATATTTTCAGAAATCTGATGTTGGTCAACATTTTATTTATAAATAATATTGGAATTATAGGAAAGTTGTCAAAATGGTAGTGTTTTCTTTGTCTTAATAACCTATAGAAATCATAAGTTGATCAAAATTAAGAAACTGATATTTGTATAATGTTGTTAGTTAAAACTACAAATTATATGTAGGACTGTAAATTTTCCACTAATGTCTTTCTGGGGTTTGAATCAAATTCAATCCTCACATAAAGCTTAGATGTCAGACTTCCTTGGTCTTCCAACCTTTGRTAGTAGTCTAAATATTCGTTAGTTTTGGTTTTTTTGTTTTTTTTTTTTGCTTTTTGTTTTTGTTTTTGTTTTGTGGCCATAATTCTTGAAGAATACTATTAGTGTTTTGTTAAATGACCCTGTTAAGTTTTTTCTGATGTTTCACCATCATTAGAATTGAGGTTATATATTTGTAGCAGGAATACCACAGAATCAATCTGCCTTTCTTCACACATCTTATCATGGAGTATGGACCCAAAGGGCCATATCTCTGGAAATGTTAACCTTGCTCACTTAATTAAGGTAATGCCTGCAAGTCTTCTTTATTGTCAAGTRTCTAATTTTTTTCCAGTGCGATATCTTTGGATAGATATTTTGGTAGTYTAGAAATACAATGTTTCTTCTCAAACTTTTGCCTAGTAATTTTAGTATCCATCCATAAGTCTTGCCTCCATCAAATATTTCTGTCTTGTTCAAATAGTGATGTTTCTATTTTCCCCATTATTCCAGAGTTGTTTGTTGATATTTTTCTGTAAGGAAGAGTTATTTTCTTACTGTTTCTATCTCTTTTCACTCTGTGATTTATTTATCATACTATGGACACATGAATACTTACTTGATTTTATGAATATGATCCATAGTATAATTTTTAACTTTTTTCTTAACATTTTTCTAGCTTTGGCCATTTGAGAGCTCTTTTGCATTGGTTCATAAGTTCTGTTGACATCCCCTCTTTCCTTTTTGAGCATTTCCTTAACCATGTCATGACAAGATGCCTTAGAGTCTCCTTCTGWTTTCTATGAGTGCAGTCCTGGAATCAACCGCTTCAAGGATCCCTGGATACTTTTATTAGAGATTAAAATTAGAAAACAAAATCTGAAAAGTATGTATGTTTCTTGTTACAGGTGTGTCATTGTTATTAGAAAATCTATCCGTATGCATACATTTAAAGTTATTTCTATGTCTATTTAATTGATATATAGTGAAAGCCATGAGTTCATAAGTGTATCCTTATATTCCTTTTTAGTAGTATATTGGGAAAGATAAGTAGCAAACATATGTTTTGTTAGCCATCTTCAGCCAGAAAATGCAGTCCTTCAGAGTAAACGTTAAATAAATGAATTCGAGGGTTTGTTCTAAGAAAAATTTTCTATTCTTCCCACTAGATGCTCGAGTACAAGTGTTTTAGTCCTTCCAACATTCTCTTCGTTCATTTTGTGTTGCTGTAACAGAGTATCTGAAACTAGGTCATTGATATTAAACAGAAAATTATTTGACTGATGCTCCTGGAGGTTAGGAAGTTCAAGACTTTGGTGCCAGTGTCTGGCCAGGGCCTCTATGCTGTCCTAACATGGTGAAAGGCAAGTGGGAAAAGACAGAAAAAACAAAACAGAACAGGAGAACATCCTTTTGTCAGAGTCCAGGCCCATAATGCTGGCATGAATTCATTAATTCCTAATAATTAATTTCTTAGAGCCCCTACCAATACTCTTASGATAGTCACCAAATTTCAACATGAATTTTGGAAAAGATATTCAAACCATTAACAGATAAATACCCTAGATTATTTGAATAAACGTCAATCCAGAGTGTCATAAATAGAAGAATGCAAACAGGTCCATGTACATTTGTAAAATCATTGCAAAAATGAAGAGATMTGAGGTGTCTTCATTTTATCAGTTTATGGGGGTGGGGGCTGCCAAGAAAGAATTTAATGTCAGCAATAGGAAAATATAATAAGATTCAGTTCAAAATTGAGCACATCATTAAGCCAAAACAGTGTTTGGAACATAATAGGTACTTAATATGTGTTTGTTACAATGAACGAATAAACCTTCACCAACATCACCATCTATGAACATCTGTTGCCATATAGGTTAGTACATAATTAACAGCATGATTTTGAGTATAATATCACACTGCTCTGATCTAATCATGCACAACTAATTCATTCAACATACTRCTACTCAACAAACTATAATAGTAGGCATGTATTATTTTAGGTGAAAGGAGTCTATAAGATAATGTGTTTTTTTTTTCAAAAATTTCTGTCATTTTTTTTTCCAAAAATTTCTGTCATTTTCTTGAGTGATTTCAGATGTATAGGATTAGTCCTGTGAGATGGAACATTTTGAAAACCTGTGTGAAATTGTAAAACCCTTATGTGTGTGAATGCAGGAATGATCCAACAAAGGTGTTATTTGCATAAGACAAAAATCAAATTATTTGTTCTCCAAGAAAGTACCTAGGGTTAATAAAACTAAGTAGAGTTTTGATAAAACATTCTTGCTTCATTGCAAAAACTTGCTCCAGTATCTCAACAACACATGGCTATTTTGTTCATATGACAAATAGTAAATTAGTTATATGTGACACTTTTTACAATATTGGCGAGGGAAAGGATCCAATATATCTCTTCAAACAATAGAGCTATAGTAGAAATTCTTAATTTTATTGAAAAAAATAATGAATTTAATTGTACATAGTAAATAACATTAAGGTTTTACAAGTTTCACTGATGGGCTATTCAGTTTTATGTGGTCTTCCAATTATTGGAAGGAATACCATGGAAATCATCTAACATGTACATTTATAAGCTTGAAGGATAAAATTTGCATGATCGTGGTAAAGTTATTAAAATATTTAATTAATTTACATCTCTAGATAAAGTTTATTGACATCGTTTTTTATTTTCTAAGTTTAACAACTTCTCACTTATGACATGAAATTTATTTTTAAATGTAAAATTAATATATGATCATTGTAGAAAATCTGAGAAATTTACAAACACAAAAATTTAAAGAATTATTCCACTGCTCAAGAAAAACCACTTTAATATTTGTCTTAGATATTTTTCAGAAACACACCRTAGAGAGCATATTCCTTTTAAAACCATGATAGTGTGCATTTGCTCCCATTTTATTAAAGTCTTTGAATTTGTACGTTGGTACGCTGGTCTCAGGCCTAGGTGACTTTTAAAAAAAAAAAAAATTATCAAAGTCCTGATGATCCACTCATCATTCTCCCTCAAAACTGACGATGATGAGAGAGGGTTGGGGGCTCTGAGAAGGTTGGAGAGGTAAGTGCTGACGTGTCTGAGTGGGGCCAGCAGGGGCTGCTGTCATGGATGAGCTGCCACATTCCTGGTGTGTCTGACCTTGGACTCACTTAACATTATAGTCTGGATTCTATTAAGGAATTTTGTGTTTTTCCTTTGTAAGAGTCACCCCCTACCATGACAAATATTTTAAAATATTTCTTAAAAAAAAAAAAGGCAGGAAAGCAAACTTTTTCCCAAAAGAAATTTATAGTTCAAATTTACACCAAGTTCCCACTAACTAGAGCAAGCTAGGTTTTTGCTAAAGCTTCGATTTTCCTCTGTAAAACATTAGTCACTCCCTTGGAAGAAGAAGACTTTTTTTTTTTTTAATAGGCAGTAGGATAAAACAACTACAGATGTGTATGTAATATGATGGGTTTTAGAATGTACCTGTAGAATGCGGGTGTGTGTCTATGTGTGTATATTCAATTCTGAGGAAAAAAAGATGAAAGAGAAAAGGCTGAATTGGAATGCAAAAATAATAGTGATGCRGTATTAAGGAAATGATGTGTTTTTGATCCATTCAAATGGTGTTTTCTTTACCCATTTTCTTTATTCCCGGGAAGTTCTGAAAGTTGTGCCAAGTTGTTTTCACTGAAACAATTTTAAAAATATGTGCATTTCCCATGTGTGACTATTGCCTTTTTACTGTGCAGGACTGTCCTGATGCCTGTGGCCAAAGAGTTTGATCCAGACATGGTCCTGGTTTCYGCTGGATTTGATGCATTAGAAGGCCACACCCCTCCTCTGGGGGGGTACAAGGTGACAGCAAAGTGTAAGTCTCTCATTCAGGACTTTATGAAATGCTATGCTATCATAACATCTTTTAGGATTTTGGAAAGACAATATGTTTCACACAAGTCCAGTAAATTTTGRTGATTTACTGGACCAAAATGATTCAAATGATGTTTATTGCTCTGTCAGATTCATGTCTCAGTGAAAATTGGCCTTTAAGGAAAACAAAGTTAACTGGTTTCTTTAGTGAACTTGGTGGGACATGTCAGGACCTTTATACCTTTCAGGAGTCCCATTTTTCATTTAAAGACAGAAGTGATAGGGCTTCTGTTTAAAATATGCCGGAAGAGCTACTGTTTTTTTTTTTTTTTTTCTGCAAGAAGAATGGAAGTCTTTGTCTTTGTTTCCTTGTACATGGTGTGGAGATAACTATTTTTCAATAGTGTTATGCCCTTCCAGGTTCAAAGGTAAAAGTGTAGTCTCCTTGCTCACAGGCTCTGTGTGGTCTATGAAAACTTCTCGGAGTCTCTACTAGTGTTCTCTTGTGTTGCAAAGCTGAACTTTTTGTCTGTGTTCTGTAGTAACCAGACACCAAACCAAGAAATGAATTTTGGTGTTATATTACATTTAAATAACACAATTCAATGGAATTTGGCTGGAAATGAGGCTTTCTTTAAGAAAGAAATTTCATTGCTCTGGGTGTGAAAGTAAGGCATATGTATAGTTCATGCATATAAATGTATGCTGGCAGGATGGGTATCTATAAAAGAAAAAATGTAAAATTACACAAAGAAATAGGAATCACTATTGTATATTTTAGGGAGAGCTGAAAATCAAACAAAACAAAAACAACCCAAATAGTTTTAAGTGGGAGAGATGAGTTTGGAACAAGTGTGCTGTATTAATTTGAAAAGAACCAAAGAAACAGCATCATGCCAACCTTTGTTTTTAGTTGGCTGCTCATGTGAGAGAGTTTTCTGTACTCTAATTATTCCAGTAACATTGTTAGGTAGTAGCTATTTTTAACATCTATTATTTACTCAGAGTTCTTGGTGCCTTGTTGTCTATTGAAAACATATTAAAACAGGCAACTCCACAAAGACAAAAAAAAAATAATGCATAATTTTGCTAAAATTGAATAAAGAGGTGTTTGCTTATGTCAAATCTATCTTTATGATCCTTTTTTGTTGTTGTTCATTGAATTCAACTCAAGTAGATGTCAGTTTTGAATTGAAGATAAAACTCACTTGGGTTAAAACTGGTGAATAATTTAGTTTAAATTTTAAAAAATAAAAATAAATAAAATACCCCAAATTAAGAAAAACCCAAACAATACAAAACACATGGACAGCAAAGAAAGAAATCTATAAAAGGTGCTCCTTGCCATTGGATCCAAAAATATCTCTCAGGGGAGAGGAATGGTAATCTTTCAGGACTTTTTCCCTGCCAAGGGGGAAGTTGTAACATGTTCATTTCTGAAAACTAGCTGGAAGGGATTAATCTTTCTGTTTGCTCATTTTTATTTATTTTTTTTTTGCCAAATCTAGTTCAAATCTCAAATGTCATCTTGAAAGGTAGAATAGAAAGTAGTAGTAGCATGTTTTTTTTTTTTTGGTTATGAATGTAAGAAATATGAGTTCTACCACTCTACCACTTTTAGTTTCAGTATCGTGTTAATCAGCTTTCCATTACTGTAACAAAATACCTGAGATAATCAACTTACAGAAGAAAGGTTTATTTTGGCTGACAGTGTGGGAGGTTACAGTTCATGGTTAGTTAACCTGTTGCTTTTGGGTCTTTGCTGAGGCAGTACATCATGATGAGGAGTGTGTGACAAAGCAAAACTGTTCACCTCATGGCCAGCTAGCAAAAGAGAGAAGACAGAAACAGGGTGCTACAGTTCCTTTCAAGGGCATGCTTCCATTGACCTAAGGATCTCCTACTAGTCCCAAGCTTGTAAGGTTTCCACCACTTCTCAATAGCACCAAGCTAAGGACTAAGTCTTTATTTACCACATGGGAATCTTGGAAGACACTTAAAGRCCAAATAATAACAAGAAGAATGCAATAAAACCTTTTTTTTTTCAATCCATTTGCATTGTTTTGCATTTGGGGAGAGYTCTTCATTGCTTTCTGTCCCAGAGTAAATCTGAATATAATCTTTACCCTCTCCCCCCACCTCTAACCCCTTCATATCTATTTCTTCCCTTGAATATCTTTTCTACTCTAGAAACCATACACTTTTTTGTTGGGTGCCTGTTTCTTAAGAAAAGCAAATAGATAGGCTAGGGTTGTGGCTCAGTGGCAGAGCACTTGCCTAACATGTGTGAGGCACTGGGTTTGATCCTCAGCACCACATTAAAAGATAAATAAATAAATAAACAAATAAAAAGTTAAAAAAAGAAAAGAAAAGCAAACAGATGCAGGTTTTAGATGATGTAACAATTGCCCATTTGTTGAATATTTGCCTATTGATAAGGCATAGATACTCAACAAGGAAAGAGAATCTTAGACTCAAAAGAGATTATAGGAGAGGCAGTCTCCTATAATTCACATGTTTCATAGATAAGGAAACTAATTTTTTTTTTTTTTTATCATCTGAAATAGCCGGGGTTAAAACCAAAATGCTTTTCCTGAATTTGTAGTTAGATGAAATTGCTTGATGCATTTACTAGATTTTTCCATTAAAGACAAAATCATTTTATCAAATGCATGTTAGAGAATTTGCATGCACACTCTACAGTGGCCAAATTCATGCCAAGACCCTTATCTCTACTATTAGGGCCTGTGATAGACACTAACAACAGAGCCTCACTGCTGGGCAGCTGTATATAACATCTCCTGTAGGCTTTAGTTTGCTGGCGCTATTTTCTAGTGAGGCTGCCACACTAACAGGGTAGAAGCCGGGGTTTATGGGCAGCTCTGCAGTTATACCCCAGTGGTTCACCRTTGGCTTTCTTTGTTTGCTTCCTAACCACCAGGCTCTTACTTTAGTCTGAAAGTTCAGGACAGGCAATTAAAACTGGGCTCCTGTTGTTCCAAGCCAGAAATCACCTCCATTTGCAGGGAGTCCCAAAATGAAGTTAGAAATGAGCTAAAAAAATACTCACATAAAAAAGTAGGTATAAGATACAAAAGCAAATTCCTCCCCTAAACTTTTTGGATTCTGGCCACATTCATCTGTGTTCCTAGTAGAACACTGAATAACGTTAGAGAGTTATTTTGAGGTTATTATGTCAGACATACTTAAGTCTTATTTTTTAGCACCTTGAATCAATCTTTTAAAATAATTTTTTAATATCTCCAAACGAAAAAGAGAGGGCAAGTAAAACAACAGAACTTTTTGTTTACTTTATACATCTAGTTAGCAATCTAAAAAATAAATAAAAAGAAAACCAAAACAGAAAGGTAGGTCTATGTCAAAAGTYCCAGCCTGAATATAGACGTGGTTAAAATTCAACGGATTTGTGACTAGTGCGTTTTTCATCCTTCCTCTCTTGTGTTTAAGAACCAGGCTTAAGTTCCAACCTTCAAGGAATAAGTAGCTTTATTTCTTGCCCTAAGCCCAGTATCAGACTTATCTTGCAGGTATCAGTTTATCATTTTAAATATGCTGGTTCAGATAGAATTGTCTTCATTTTACAGTTTGAGGAGATTCCAAGCTGGGGTTGTGGCTCAACCATAGAGCACTCACCTAGCATGTTTGAGGAACTGGGTTTGATCCTCAGCACCACATAAAAATAAATAAATAAAATAAAAGTACTGTGTCCAACTACAACTAAAAAATAAATTAAAAAAAAAAAAAACAAGATTCCATGACAACTCAGTACCAGGKTCAAACAATAACATTGATTCACCATATTGCAGTCCCGACTGGCTTTCTAGTGTTGTCAATTTAAACAAACAAGAACAGACTAGGTTCATTAGTTCAAAATCATTTTTTAAAAAATATTTATTCTCACATTTTTATTGGCATGTTATAGTTGTATATACTGATGGGATTTATTGTTACATATTCATACATGCACACAGTACAAAATGTGACAACATAATTAGGTCAATATCACTTCCTAGCACTTCCTTGTTTTTTTTTTTTTTTTTGAGACAGGGTCTTGATAATTGCTGGGGCTGAATTTGAATTTACCATCCTCCTCCCTTGGTCTCACTGGGATTAAAGGAGTACAACACCACACCCGGCAATTTTTATTTTATCCCCCTCCCYAGTATTGCAGATTGAACCAAAGGACACTTTAACATTGTAGTTCAAATTCATTTTATAACAAGATATATTTTTTTCTTCCATTTAACACATGAATGCATTCTACTTTCTTTGGTATATGAAGTCAATTCCTGTGTACAAATTGCTTTTATCATGTGGATAKAACTTTTTCTGTCTTTGGGATAATGCAAAAGTCCTTATGTTATGATAGTGTCTCATAAAAAATAGGTTCCTTTTATATAAAATATGTTCCTTTAGTAAATAGCTTATAGTCTGAAATATAAATCATTTCCCTTGGAGAATACATAGTTTTTTTGAGAAATACTAGTTGGAGGAAAAAAATCAAATAGCATATCTTAGAGTCTTGAGTTACTGTCTTCTCCTTGACAGAGAGTTACTCCTTTTGGTAATCCTCCTATTCTTTTATTCCTAAGAAGGTCTGTAAAAACAGGGAGAGAACATTCTTTGAGGAATAATTGCTAAATGAATTCAGGCTTTGCTATGAGTTATCCTGGGGTAAACACAGAAATTCTATGATTAACCTGTTCTAAACACAAGTTTATAAAAAGTTAGGTGCTAATTCAGTCTACAAATGAATGCCCAGACACAAGTTTTATCAAAATATAAGGCTATGTTGGTCTATGCCAACTGTTAATAATGATGTATAGGCTTCATCCTGTGTGCACATATATATATATACAGTATGCAACTCAACTGCCTTCTATCTACATGTATAATTTGTCCAAGCAGTTGAATATTGATTGAGTTATGTCCATTTACACAAAGTGCATTTTTGTGACATTGACTTATTTTTTCTCTCTT